TGTCTTTTCTTTTCTTTCATTAAATATTTTAAATTAATTTTTAGAAAGAGAAGAAGGGAGAGGGAGAGAAACATCAATGTGATAATGACACATCAATTGCCTACCTCTTGCATGAATCCCCAATTCATGGAGATTCAACCTGGGCATGTGTCCTGACTGGAAATTGAACGAGCAACCTTTCAATACACAGGATGACACCCAACCAAATGAGGCACATGAGCCAGAGTGATTTATTTTCAACCTTGTTTTAAGTACGTGATTCCCTTCATGAACCACCTTCCTCAGTCCCAGACTTTTTTCTCACCTCATTTACCTCTTTCATCCTGCAAAACATGATACTCTCCATTTAGTTGAGTCTACAATTCCCAGTTTTATGACTTAATCTTCCTGAATGCCTTCCTATTGAAATCCTGGGAGTTCTGCCTTTTAGTAATGTATGTGTGTTCCTGACTCATGCTCTGCTCTACTGCGTATGACCCGAGGCCTGTCACTGCTTGTTCCTCATCTGTGCAAATCTTGCAACTTCTTCTGTGGCACCTACTGTGTAGTCACTCATTAAATATCTGTTAAATTGAATGGAAAATAGCTGTAATGTGTGTTATGAGCCTCCAAGTTCCTCTGAAGCCCCTGAAAGTAGTTCTGTGCCTTGAAGGAAACATTTTACAGGAAAGGAGTGAGTTGCTCATTGGAACATTTCTTTGCTTTATGTCTCTCATCCATAAGAAGAGAACCATGTCTTATTGCATTTCAAATACCTGGAAATTGGACTCTCAATAAAGCATGGTCTATAGCACATGTGTCAAACACAAGGCCCGCGGGCCAAATCCGTCCCGCTAGGCCTTTTAATGTGGCACGCACCGCGCTGTCATCACTGCACTCCGCTGCGTTTCCATCACAATGACAGTTTATGACTGTTCAGTAAACCATTCGGCCCGCGATTTAGGCTGGATTTTAGATTTTGGCCCCTTCTATGATTGAGTTCGACACCCCTAGTCTATAGCATATATTCCAGTGCAAGTTTACATTTTATTTTCATGATTTTGGCTCTGAACTTTATTGCTTTATATTCCACTAGCAGCTCGGTGCACAAATCTGTGCACAGGTGGGGGTCTCTCTGGGTGGTCTGCGGGGAACCAGCAGAAACCCGCAGTCCAATGTTGCCTGCAGCTCCTACCTGCTTCTCCCACTCATCCTGGCGTCACTGCGCCTGCCCTGGGCTTACACCCAATCAGTCCAGATCAGGAGAGGCTCATGCTGCCACAGCAGCACTCGACAGCCATGAGCCCTACATATGGCACCCTCTCAAGGGGAGTGGTTTGTGAAATCAGGCTGAAACCAGCTCTCTGACATTCCCCAAAGGGCCCCGAATTGTTGAGAGGGTGCAGGCAAGGATGTGGGACCCCACTGGTGCACTATCGGGCTGGGAGGGACAGCAGGAGGGCTTAAAGGCTTGTCTGGCCCATCTTGCTCAGTCCCAATCAGCTGGACCCTAGCAGCAAGCTAACCTACCAGTCAAAGATCTGTCCCCTGGTGGTCAGTGCACGTCATGGTGAGCAGTTGAGCGGCCTTAGCATATCATTAGCATATTATGCTTTGATTGGTTGAACAGTTGACTGGTCACCAGATGACCAGACACTTAGCATATTAGGCTTTTATTATATAGGATTTGCTTGAGTAAAAAACCCTCAAGAATTGGAACCTGGTAGACTAAATTGTAAGATATTAACCCAAAGAACAAATGTCTCCTTACCTTTACTGAGAAGATTGAGTTTTATAAATGCTAGGTTGTATCATGCCATCAGTTCATGGGATTGAAGATATTTCAATTTTTTAGAAAAACTAAGAACTTAATGCTAAAATCTAGACAATTGCCATGCTATTTCTTAGAACTAAAATGAGTATTCAAATTATCTTGTCCACCTCTGGTTTTATTTTATTCCTGACCTAGGCAGTTACTTTCAGATAAAGGAATATGCTTAACAAAAGAAATTTCATAAACCAAACAGCCCTGTCATTTACATAAGTGCAGCCAATGTTCTTTAGGAGAATCAAAACCAACTGAACAGCCTGGATGGATCTCAAGCATGATGCTGAATGGAAGAAAAAAAAAAAAAAAAAAAAGCCAATCTCCAAAGGTTGCAAACTCTATGATTCCATTTAAATACAATTTTTGAAATAACAAAATCATGGATATGGAGACTAGCAATTGCCAGGGATTAGAGTCTAGAAAGGAAGTGCAGGGAGGAGGTGGGTGTGGCTATGAAGGGGTTAATTTGTTCTTCTCCAGAGAGCTTCGTTCTTTTATTTTTAAAAAGCTTAATAAGTTCTGCAAAAACTAGAAAAAAAAATAAGCCATGATCTGGTATCCTAAGCTGGAGCTCTGTGGTGGATGAATGTGGTGCTGGTTATACAAAGCTGCACAGGTGATAAAGTTACACAGAAACACACACACACACACACACACACACACACACACACGCCCAATCTGATCATTTACTGCAGTTATGCAGGATTTTGTCTTTGGGGGAAAGTGATGTACATTTTATTTATTTATTTATTTTTTTTGCAATTTCCTATGAACCTATAATTATTTCAAAATGAAAAGTTTTTTTAAAAACCGGATATTTCCTTGTCACTTGAGAGAATAGGCCTCTGAGATCATAAGCAGGTGAAGTGGGTGGGAGCAGGGAGGCTGAGAAAGGCCAGATGAAGGAGACAGCTTTGATTTGGCTCCTCCAGCTGTGGGGCTGGGCACCTGGAATTGCTGAGGCTTCTGAGTGCTGTTGCTGTTTTGACGAAATACCAGAAACCGAAGTTTTCATGTAAAAATTTCCTCACTTTCATTAACAACTAATTCGAACTTTTTGAACACTGTATACAAATCATACTAAATATAAGCGAGGGCTGGATTCAGCCTAATGATTCCTGTGCAAAATTAGCTTCTGGCCAGAGGTCCAGTTTGACTCTGAGATGAATGTAGCCTCACTCTGCAGCTCCTACTCCTCTGTGGTTCCTTACAAAAAACTAAAAAATGGGTGTTCCCAACAAAGTGAGAGTTCGTCTCTGGCCACTGCTGAAAATGGCATAAGCCGCCAGTGAAATTCTGGAGACTGTCAGTTTGATGACAGCTCAGAGTCACGCCACCGCTACTGGCTTCTGACCCAGACCTTTACACCCACTTCCCTATCACCGTGCTCAGGACAGAGCAGGCGCTCCGTTTGTGTCTTTTTTGGAAGCGTTAATTTGTTCTTCTCTAGATAGCTTAGTTCTTTTATTTTTAAAAGCTTAATAAGTTCTATAAAAACTAAAAAATGAGCCACGACCTGGCATCCTAAGCTAGGCTTTTCCTGAGGTGGATTCCATGGCCCAGTGAATGCAATTTATATATAGGTGTCAGCAGCACTCACAACTTCTGCGTCTATTTGACATCTAGTGCAAATGAGCAGAGGGAGGAGTTGATAAGGTCATTGTTCTGGTTTTGGTTCTTTAAAGACTTTATCATATCTGCCCTGCTTAAGGCCCAGAGTCTAGCCATCCTTTCTTCTCCCATTCCCAACAAGGACAGCTGACTCAGCAGAAGTGAGAAGGGGCGGGGCTAATCACTTACTCTTCACTACACCACATGGTGAGTCAGTAACATCGCCCGCCCTTCCATCTGAAACAGGACATGCAATAATCAGACTCCCTCTGTCTCAGTGTCTAGTAGAGAGAGCGCAGTACCCACAATTCCTTCATAAAGAAAATGAATAGAAAAAATTCCGATTTCCTACAAGTGGAATTTTAATTCAATTTCATTTTAATTAAAATGTATTAAACCTTAAAATTTCATCTATGACCCAATTACACGTTGTCAGAGTCAAATTGAAATAATGAAAAGATTCATTTGAATGATTTCTGTCCTCTTTCCCCCCAAAAAAGTCTGCTAATGAGAGTACAGTGAATGCTCTTTAATCTTCCTTTAAAAAAAAGAGCATGTGTAGGTTTTGAATAATTATAAGTCAATAAGAGTCTTTTCCTATTTATCATTTTTTATCAAGCTTCATAGTGCAGATTTTAAAGGATTGGTTCTCAGCCTAGAAAATTATGCCAATGAGGTAAGAGCAATCATTTAAAAGAGAAGCCACTAATTTCTCTAAGGGGCCATATGCAAAGACCCTGGACTTTACATCTGTTTTCAACTAATTATTCTGTATTTACTTTTCCATTAGTCCAGTAATTTTTTCTTTCAAATCAGAATTAAGCAATAAGACACTGAATTACATAAAGGCCTGTTTAGCATAGCAGACACACCCCATCGTTCCCCGGTCCTCTGATTTACAGCGATTAAAATGCTAACTGAGAGGCTGTCTATATGCCCCTTAGTATTTATATTCCATCATGCAGTCACCTCAGTAATCTATTCGTTCTCAGAAGGACTACCTGGCAATTAACTCCAGTCTTTTCCAACTCACCATCTCATTATGTAAAGTGGTTTTGAAACATAAACTTTATTAGCAACTTTCATTATAATTTCTTCTTATTTTACCCACCCTCAGCCTGCCTGGAAATGTCAGTTTATATGTGACCAGAATGTTCTGGAAAACGGCAGTTTAAAACCGTCCACACTAGCAGGCAGCACATTTCCTAATTGGTCTTTGCACTATGGGGCACTAGCATAAATTGAGATTGTCATGTCTCAGCTGAAGCATGTGATGCAATTTTTTACAGAGATGGAAATGAATTCTCCCTGCCTCACGATACAACATTTTCACTATGTTCAGGAGGAAGGAGCAAATAAGGAAGCTTTTTCTTTTATTCTAAAGATTAAAAGAAAAACAAATTCAAAATTCTTTGGTAAAAGGTAAAGGAACTCACAGTATGGGAAGAGCTGAAATGTGGTTCAGTGTACACATTCTTGGTAAGGAACCAGAGTGGGTTGGATGAGACTATTGGAAAGAAAGCACCCGAAAATGTGTTGAATCCCTGGATAGGGAGACATCCCATTGGTGCGACTGACTTACCAATGTCGGGATCCACGGCTTGAACTCTGGTCAGCAGAGCCTTCGTGGCTGTGTTCTCATAGACACAGGCGTGGTAGTGGTCGGAAGAAAACACAGGGGGGTTATCGTTCACGTCCTCCAGGATCAAGTGGATGTCGGATTGGCAGAATCTGCCACCCCCGTCGGTGGCCCTGGCGACCAGGTTGTACGCAGGGACTCTCTCCCGGTCTAGCGGTGATGAAGTTTTTAACTGGCCTGTGAAGAGAAATAGCCTGCCTTTTCAAAAATTGTCTAAATTCTCTGAAAAGCAGAGGATCAATACTAAGGATTCCAATACAGGAAGGACCAATGATATTGGGCTCAAGTGTCTCATAATTTTGAAAAATAGAACAAATATGATTGAAAGCATCAGGCAAAAAATTCTGTGATTTTGGATGCAACCACAAACCAACGGCAGGACCTTCAAATTAATTAATGGCGATGTGAAACCTCTGGCATCGGGGGTTCCTCCTTTTGGCTACATGGAGAAGCTCTGTGATTCCTTCTACCTCCCCAGCTATGTCTCTGGGTTTCTGCTATCTCCAGAGAAAGCACAGAAAATGGGCCAGGGTCTGAGTTCTCCGGCAGTCAATCATGTCAATAACCTGTAGATACAGAAGGGGCATCCTTTTGCTTCCGTTTACTCAACATCTTTTTGCTCCATCTTTTAGAGGAAAACAACAGTCCCAACAGAGGCTGGTTATAGCACAAAGAGGACTTGAAGGAGCCCTACTGTGCCAGGTGAACCCTGCTAGCTGGACTGTGCAAGGGCCTGTGGTTGGTGGGGAGGGTTCTGGTGAGGAAATATTAGAGGGACTCAGAGAAGTGGCTATTAGTAACCAACATGGAGTAGGTTATGTATTTTAACCACTGGGACAGCTGTACTGGTGCTATGTGTCAGGTCCCCCCTCCCCGGGAGATTCTGTGGTTGTTATTTAGAATTTAATAGTTAAGCATTAGGACTTGAATAGATGCTATTTGGTGTCAAGTATGACTCATGAAATATTATTATGCTTAAATAAAATGAGCAGGCGTTGCGTGGACCATGCCAGCCCGACTCATAAAGCAGTTCCTCCCATGGCTTCCTTGCGCCAGCCAGTTCTCAAACATAGGTTAGATCAATTCCCTCGCCTATTTCAAAACCTCCGGTTTTTTGGTTGGGCATTCAAGACCCTCCATGATGTGGCTGAAAGTTATTTTCCCAGCACTTTGGTCACAGACCATTCCACAGCTCCTCTCACCAGCGGCAGTGCTGTCCGTGGCATTCCCTGGATGGACCTTGCCCTCTGCTCCTGCTGCCCCTTGCAGGGTCCTGTCTTACTTACTAGGGTCCTGGCTCCGTTCAAATATCAGCTCTTCTTTAAAAGTTTCCTCTTTCCTCTCAGTAGAATATTACCTACTTCGTCCTCTGAGCCCAGATGTATCTCCCCTGATCTCTCTCCTGGGTCACTCATTTCATTCTGTCTATTATTATTATTATTATTATTATTATCTTACTGGTTTGTCTTCCTCACTTGACATGATTTGTTTTGTTTATCTTTGATTCTACCACATATATGCCATTAGTCCTTTTATGCAGAATAGCTCTACTCAATAAGTGTTAGCTATTGGGTACACAAACACCAGGCACATATGGACAAGCAGTATATTCCTAAGTAGCTCAGTGCTCCTAAGAAGAATAACGATGCTGTGGGAGTGAGCAAGGAGGAACCACTGCTTCTTGGAGTCTCAATATTTTGGGGTTCAAAAGGACCAAGACAACACTGGAAACATGCAAGTTGTTCCATCATTATTCTTCATTTACAAACTTCCAGTAGATGAACCATCCAGTGCATAACAATGGAATAATTTACCTCCGTAAAAAATGTCTCTTCCATTAGCTCGGGCCTTCAGGGCAGGCATCTGCTGTGGTGTACAAAACCTTTCACTTTATACATTTTACCTGAATGTGTAAGCAAAGCTGAGGGCTCATAACTTTGAGACAGGAATGTTTAATAAAAACCAGACAAGTGTGCTAATAAGCATCGGGAAGGGACCCAGAAGGGATTTCAACAGGGAAGACTCCTCTTACTGTGCATTGCTGTCTGGTTTGCATGGCAACTTGTGTTTTTGATGCAATTCTGTTTAAACTCTTTGTAGGGCGGATGCTTTAACTGAAAGACTATGAGAAACAGGAGAAGCAAGTAGGCCCGTCTGCTTTACTGGATGCTAATAAATGTAAGTAAGTCAGAGCAAGTTTATAAGCCAAATAAAGTTTGTGTGCTCTAGAGCACCCATCTTCAGATTCCATGCACAATTAGGTGTTTTTTAAAAGAAGAGTTTATTAATTTTTATAAAGTAAGGGAGAGGGAGAGACAGAGAAACATCGATGTGAGAGCACACCATTGCTAGGCTGCCTCCTGCATGTCCCCTACCAAAACCTAAGCATGTGCCCTTGACCAGGAATTAAACCTGCAACCTCCTGATACACAGGGTGATGCCCAATACACTGAGCCACATCAACCAGAGCATGTGCCATTAGTATTTCTTAGAGCCCAAAATAGCCAGACATCAGATGAAGGCTCTTGTATATTAGTTAGGCACTGTGGATGAGACCATCTGAGAGCTTAACTTCTCTCCTGGATTAACAGTGGTATTTATCCAAGGAATAAATGTCACCTTACCACTTTCTGGATCTAGAAAAAATTCACTGTGTCCAGATCCATACAGTGAGTATCCTATATCTCCATTGGATCCAATATCGGCATCCTGGGCACTGACCTTCAGGATGATTTTATTTGAGGGAATGTCTTCAGGAAATAATGCTGTATATGCAACCTAGTCAAAGGTAAAGAAACATAACCAAATCATTAGTATTTGTGGGGCAGCTGCCATAGTCAGCATGCATTCAAATAATTTAGATGCCTTCACACAATTTAGCTTCAGCTATTTTTTCCCCCCTGTATCATAGAACCATCTGACAATATATGATGAAACATGGTATGTCTCTTACCCTGCCACTCCCATGCTCACTTATTCAACAAATGCTGATGGAGCACAACTAGGGGCTCAGTACTACTTGGATTCTAGGAGAACAGTGTTGAGTAAAACAGACAAAAAATCCCTGCCCCTGTGCAACCATGATGCAGGTCTCATATTGACCACGGTCCTCTTTCTGTGAAGCACCAGTGAATCCCTGAAACCCTTCAACTCTCTAAAAAGCCACTACTAGCATTTGGCATTAGTAGGAGAGGTTAAGTCTATTTGCCTTTTTTCTAAGCTACAGAACACCAATATTGTCTCTGGGTCCAGATGGTGATTAAAAAAGAAAGGTAAATGAACAGGGATTTAATTTCAGTAAGAAGAAAACAAATCCAAGTACTGGCACCTTGCACGGACTGTCATGTTTGGTTCGTGATAGAAAAGCTACCTCTTAACGAGCTTGGAGGTCTGGGTTCATTGCTAACATGGCCATGAACCAGCTGTGTAAACTTATAAAAAAAATGTAATTTATGCTTCCGAGGGTTCCATTTCTCTTTTATGAAATCAATGATTTAGATAGAACAGTCCTCTAAGGTCTTTCACGATTCCTTTAAAATTATTTAATTTTAGGACTCATGGTTTTGTTTTTGTGGGCAAAATTATGTACCTGATTCGTGCTACCTCCTCTATTCTTTCCATGTTTATAATATTTCATCCCAGACTCCAACTCCTAGCCTCTGATATCCAATTGGAGCTCACTAACTAAGCAGGTAAGAATAGAAATTAGGTTGGCCTTAAGCAGAGAAGGGAAATGGGTTTTGATTTAATGGTAGAGAAGCAGAGTAAAAGGGGGCAATATATCTGCTACAGCCACAAATCTTACCTGATCACACACTGGGCTATTGTCATTCACGTCGCTGACAGTCACTTCCACCATGGCCTGTGTGACAAAGAGCCCATCGGTGGCCGTGATATTGAGGAAGTAAGCGTCTTGTTCTTCCCTGTCTAGAGGCCTCTTCACATAGACTTTCCACTCACTCTGCACCAGCCCCAGGGCAAATCTTCCTCGGGGATTCCCTCCTGCAGTGAAAAAAAAAAGTTTTTGAAGCTGTGCAGTGACAGGGATAGGTCAGTGTAGGGTCATCTAGGTGCCCCATAAATTATATCACTCGTGATACTGTACAACAATCAATTCTCACTTCCTTTTGATTCTTGTGCAAGAAAGCCTGATATTTATATGCTTGGCTTGTGTGGAAAATAAAACAATAACTTTCAAGAGAATAAAATGCTCTTAGAGAAGCTGGAAGGTGAATTAAAGGGGAATTAAAAAGCCACTACTAGCATTTGGCATTAGTATGAGAGGTTAAGTCTTGTTTAGTTCCCCCTTTAAGGACAATCAAATTCAAACTGTGAATAATCAATCCTCTTCTCAGGATGATACAACTGTCTTTCCACTTTGTCTCAAGAGAGGATGTAATACACCATAGCTCTTGCTACCAAGACAATTTCATTAGCTGTTGATAATCAAGGAAAGGCAGTCAGTTCTACTGAAAAACCTTTTGTAATTTATGGGGGTGACATTGGTTAATAAAATTATGTAGGTTTCAGGTGCACAATTCTATAACACATCATCTGCACATTATGTGTTCACCACCCAAAGTCAAGTCTCCTTCAATCACCATTTATCCCCCTATACCCTCTCCTACCTCTCCAGCCCCCCTTTCCCTCTAGTAATCACCCTACTATTGTCTGTATCTATGAGTTTAATTTTTTTCTTAAGCCCTTCACCTTTTTCACACAGCTCCCCAACCTCCCTCTCCTCTCCTCAGGCAGCTGTCAGTCTGTCCTCCATATCTATGAGTCTGTTTTTACTTTGTTTGTTAATTTTGTTCATTGATTTCACATATAAGTGAAATCATATGATACTTGTCTTTCTCTGACTGGCTTATTTCACTTAGCACAATACTCTCCAGGTCCATCCATTTGTCACAAAAGATAAGATCTCTTCCCTCTCCTTCTCCTCCTCCTCCTCCTTCTTTTTAACAGCTGGGTAGTATTCCACTGTGTGAATGTATCACAGCTTTTTTATCCACTCATCTCCTGATGAGCACTTGGGCTGCTTCCAAATCTTGGCTATTATAAAGAACACTGCAGTGGACATGGTGGTGCATATATTTTTTTGAATTCATGTTTTGGGTTTCTGCTAATAAGGAATCTTTTCATGAAAGATTTATCATACAGCTGGACTCTCCCTATAAGGACTAGGGTTTGGGGGAGAGAAGTTTGTATAACAGAGGAAGACCATTAGTATTAAAGGGCCCTAATTAGAGGTCATTGAAGGTGCAGTTCAAAGATAAGCACGACAATTAGATCCAATCTATCAGAGCACAGCTGGGGAAAGCGGAAGAAAAGGAGAAGAGGTGAAGTGGAACAGCTTTTGATGACGATGAAACACTGACCGTGGTCCCAGCAATACTTCGTCCAGCATCACTGAATTGCACGGCGACAACAGTGGCTGGCAGAAGGTGGGAACAGGAGGGAAGAAAACAGCTTGACCTTCCAATCCCAAAGAGGAAAACAATGTCACTTCAAACATGGAGGAAAACTGAACTAGACAACTGGCAAGGAGCCTGGAATTCAGTGAAATCATCACTGTTTCCCTGGTTTAGCCATTTAACAAGCATTTATCACCTGCTCTGGGCCAGACTCGGCTCCAGGCAGTGGCGCCATGGCAGTGGACAAAACTGACCCACATCTCTCCTAGTGGAACTCACATTCCAGTAGGGAAGACTAACAGTAAACAAGCGAATAAGAAACATATTGCATCCTGGCTGCTACCTCACTGAAAAGGTGGAGCCAACTTGCCTTCCTATAAGGAATCTTTGAAAGAGCCCAGCACAGAGCTTCTGGTCCTGCCAGGGGCATGGAGTGGGAAGGGTGGCAGATTATAAGGGATGGTGGGGGGTGGGATCAGTGCAGGGGTCTCAGTGGCGTGGGGCTAACACAGGATGAATGGACTGTACTAGGCAGACAGTGCAGAAAATGAGGGGGTGCACATTCCTCTAGGGCAGTGGGCTTGTGCTGGGAGTGACTGTGCCTCCCTCCCTCATCCCTCGGGGCCCGTGTCAATGTCTGAAGACATTTTTGCATGTCACATCAGAGGTCATGAGGTGAAGGTACTGGAATCTATTGGGTAGAGGCCAGAAACACTACTAATCATCCTACAAGGCACAGAACTGCCACCTGTGACAAAGATGTATCTGCCCTGAATGTCAGGGGTCCAGGGTGAGAAATCTGTTTCCGAGAGGCTCGGGGTCGTCCCTGGGAGATCACTTTCCTCCATCACTGGCTAGGATTCAGTGAGACTGTGGTTGAATATTCGGCACGCACCAGTTTAACCTAGCAGATGCTTTTGATGCAGGCTCATACTGTTCCTTTTGTTAAAAAAAAAAATGATTAATGGCCCTTTGTTAATCTGTGGAAGCACAGCCAAGTTGTGCTACAACAAGAGCAAAAGTTAAATCTCATTAAAATCAGTTGGTGGTTGGCACTGCTCACAGTCACAGTAGCTTTAAGCTACTCTGTTCTCATTACCTTGGTAAAGTTGATAGGATGGCCCCTTTAAATCTTCCATTCAGAGACAATGTATAAATAATTAAAGCTGAGTAACAGTTCTTCCAAATAGAAGAGTGTCCCTTAGAATGCTTAAGAAGCTTTTTATCTGCAACTGAATGCAAATAAAATCAAAGTGATGCTTTTACTCACCTATTTCTCTTTACCACTATTGCTCATGTCTTTACTGCAGAAACATACATTTTAATAAAAAGGAAGTCATCAGCAAAAGCATGAAATGCATAAATAGCTTTAAACAGAAAACAACGAGCAAACAGTTCCATGAAGAAGAGGAGTAACGTGGAGAAGTGTGGCAGTCGCTAGCACGGGCACATATGCCCTCTCGAGGGTCTTATTCTGCAGTGATTAATTAACTTTCCCACCAACGTACTTAAGCAGATTCCGTGTCCTGGGGGCATTCTAATTAATTCATTTTTTCACGGTGAATAATGTAGTTTTTCTAAAGGGAAACCACCTGACTACAAATATGGATGGATTCTTTAAAATCTCTTGGCACTTTGCTTATGTTCTGCCTTTGAATGTCCCAACATCAAAATGTTTCTTTTAAAAACCCCAAAATAGTTTTAGAAAGACTGCTCCCACATCACCAACCCTCTCCTCTTCGGAGTTTAAGGCCAATCGCCCCGGAAAGCTGCCCCTAATCAAGACACTCCTTCTTCCCTTTGACATGAAATCCTTAGGCTCTCCGAGCCATGGGGACATACTTTGTGCCCTCTGGGTGACCTCATTTGTCTGACTTGGCTTTCCCATTGAACTGCTACTTACCATTTGGAAAGATAGGAAAGGGATCCAAGAAAAATGAGCTGTCATGAGAAATATCTTTGGCTCAGGGTTATAACATTATTATTATTATTTTTAGCAGAAGGTCAAACCCGGCTCTCTAATTTGTAAATGTGAACGTATAGGCATTTCCATTATCAGAGGAAACTTGTAAGTGAAGCTTACAAGGGTCAAGCTATTTTGATTTATCCCCACTTAAAAATGTAGGGAAAAGGAATACAGTTAAAAATACATCTCTTTTATATTTTTAAGGTAACAGCAAAAAAGAGCTGTTATTTTCATTTCTTCAGCTGAGAAGTTTGGCTGGACGCCATTTGCAATGATAAAAAGTGACTCGAGGCCTGGGTACCGATCTGGGTAATCAGTCTCAGGCATACCAAAGAATGCCAAATTAAGGCTGAGTGAGGAACAACCAACAACCGCATCTACTCAGATCTCTTCCTCAGCCCCAGAGCATCAGTACTCTCAATCCTTCATCTCTCCTCCCTTCTTTCCTCTTACCCTCACTGCCTGCCACCTTCCATCTCCAGAAGGCGGAGCCCATAGTGAAAACCAAGGGAGGTAGACTGACCTGTAATGTGGTAGCTCACTTGGCGATTGATGTCGGAAGTGTCTCGGTCCCATGTGCTGAGGACGGCCACCACCTCGCCCGGAGGGTCGCTCTCCTTCACGTTCCCTTGGTACACATCATGAGCAAAGACGGGTGCATTGTCGTTTATATCTGTCACCCTGACAGAGACCACGGCCGTGGCAGAAAGGGAGAAGGCCTCCCCAAGGTCAGACGCCACCACGGAGAAGGTGAAGGAGGGGTCTGTCTCGTGATCCAGGTCCTTCAAGGTACTGATCCAGCCGGTGTTGCTGTCAATATTGAACGCTTCCATTACCTTTTCGGGCTGGGAATCGGAGTGCAGGGAGTACGTGACCTGCCCGTTAGCTCCCCAATCCATATCGATGGCTCTCACCTGGGTGAGCTTGGTGCCGACAGGCATTCCTTCCATGATCGTGGTCTCATAGCTGGACGTCTCAAAGACGGGCTTGTTGTCATTCAAATCCAACACCTTGATGTCCACGTCCGCAGTAAACACGATGTCTACCTTGTCCAGGGGTATAGTGGCTGCTACTTTAAAGTGGAACGCTGGGCTGACTTCGTGGTCCAGGCGTTTGTCCAGCTTGATGGTGCCTGTGTCCCGTTCTATGACGAAGACACCCCCTTTGTTATTTTCCAGACGTTCCCCATTTACTGTGCTGAACTGGACGTTCTGGCTCGGCAAAATCCTTAGGGTATCCACTGTGCTCCCGATGGCTGTGTCTTCTGCCACGGTGAAGGAATACTGAGACTGGGTGAAGGACGGCAAGAATGTTTCAGGGGGCAAGACGTGGATGTAGACGGGGATGAGGGAGTGCTTTACCGGAATGCCCCCATCGACGGCTTTGACAAAGAAGGACAGCACGGTGTTTCTCAGCTGGTTAAAGCTGCCCTTGGTGACCATCCAACCGTTGTCGGGGTCAATCTCCAGCAGGTCGGCCACGGAGACCGAGGCCTCGCTGTACAGGGAGTAAGTGATCCTGGAGTTGGCTCCATCATCTGGATCCACGGCCTGCACCTGCGTGACCAAGTGGCCCCGGCCCACGTCTGCCCTGACGCTGGCCCTGTATTCCACCGTCATGAACTGGGGAGCGTTGTCATTTTCGTCCACGACAATCACCCTCACGGTGCAGAAGGTCGTTCTCCCCCCACCATCCAGGGCCCTCAAGAAAATACTGATGTCGCCTTCCAGAGGGTTTTCCCGGTCGAGCCTTTCTGTGGTGATGACTTGCCCGTTGCTGTCTATGAGGAATCGGTCCTTCGCAAAGTCATTGACGATGGCGTAGCTGATCTGGCCGTAGGTCCCCGGGTCCCCATCTGTGGCTCGCACATGAATCACCTTTGTCCCAGCAGCCGCGTTCTCTCGCACCTCAGCTACATAGGTGCTTTGTGAAAAGGTGGGGCTGTACAGGTTAGCCCCCAGCACCCTAATATGCACCTGGGCAGTGCTAGTGAACAACCCGTCGGAGACAGACACATTGAGGCTGTACAGAGGCTCCATCCGCTGTTTGCGGTGGTTGGATAGGGTGATGACGCCGCGCTTGCTGTCCATCAGAAAGCTCGTCCGGTCATTCCCAGACAAAATGCTATATTCCAACCGGTCGAAGTCGGAACTGTCGGCATCGGAGGCTTGCACACAGGTCACAAAATGGCCCCGGGGGGCTAATTCACTCACGTAGGACTCATAGATGAGCTGGTTAAACACAGGAGGGTTGTCGTTGATGTCTGAGATGTAGATGTGAACCAGGACCTCACTGCTCAGCGACGGGAAGCCACTGTCGGTTGCTCTGACTTTCAAAGTGCAGTGTTGCACGGACTCATGGTCCAGCATCCTCGCCGTCAGGATTAAGCCACTGGTGCTATCTATGTGGAAATAATCGGTGCTGTTGTAAGTGTCCTGGACAATCTGATAGTGAACCATCTTATTGTTTTCCGAGTCCACATCAGTGGAAACAACCTGCAACACAGGCGTCCCAATGAGAGATGCTTCTGTCAGTGTTGTGTTGTATGCAAGCTGGTCAAAAACAGGGGGGTTGTCATTTACATCATTAACAAACAAGTCAACGGTGACTTCAGCCCTGGCACCGGTAAGGGCGTCGCTGGCTCTTACCGTCAACTTGTAAACAGGTGTAACTTCATAATCCAAAGGGCTAACGACTTTCAGGACCCCGGTGTCAAAGTCTATGTTAAATTGTTTATAAAGATCCCCATCGATAATGATATATATGATGCCTTGGCCTTCTGGACTGGTGGCATTGATGCTCAGGATAGGGGTATCTATTCTGATGTCTTCATTGACGGATGCTGTATAGAAGGGCTTATCAAACACAGGCATGGCTTTGTTGACAATAGTGATGGGAAGTTCTACGAATGTGGACAAAGAAGGTTTTCCACCATCTTTGGCTAGGATGGTGACACCGTACTCGATGTTGGACAAGTCAGAGTTGAATGCTTCTTTTAAAATAACATTCCCCGAAACAGGGTTAATTTCAAAGTGGCCATAGTCATCCTGTAGGACATAGGTCACTTCTCCATTTGCACCTTTATCTTTGTCAATGGCCGTCACCCGGTAAATCGGAGTCCCTGGCTCAGCATCCACTTGCACAGCAGCATAGTAAGGGAGGCCCACGAAGACTGGAGAATTGTCATTGATGTCTTCGATGCTGACTCTGACCACCACCCTGGCCACGCGCAAATGGTCCATCTCACGGCTGGCTTCTACCACCAGCTCGTATAACTCCTGTTCCTCACGGTCGAAGGGGACTCCGGTGGTCTGGATGACTCCTGAGGTAGATTTTATCTTGAACTTATTTCCTGGGTTTAGAATGCTATATTTTAAGGGCTCATTAAGGCGATTTCCAATGGCATTGACAATAGCAACTTTGGTTATGTTAGTGTTGTTCTCTGAGATTGAGGTGGAGTAAAAGCTTTGTGTGAAGTGGAGGCCGCTGTCCATGGCTTCTTTCACCGAGATGGTGACCATGGACGTGCTGTAGAACTTCCCGTCCGAAACTTTGACGATCAGCGCGTAGTGGTCTTTGGAGAGGTTGTTGTTTTTTATGGAGAGCACCCCGGTATTTGAGTCCATTGCAAAGTGATCCACGCTGCCTTCCAGTAGGCTGTAGATCAGTTCAGGGGGCACCTCGGAGTCGGGATCTGTGGCACCGACTTTCAGAACCTCCACTCCAACGTAGGTAGGTAGCAGCAGGACAGTCTCAAACACAGCCTGGGTGAAAACAGGCGGATTATCATTCACATCGGTCACCTCTATGCTGACCTCAACGGGACTCTCTGCAGTCAGCTGAGGGCTGCCGCTGTCTCTCACGTGCACGTGGAAATGAAATCGGGAGATGGTTTCGTGGTCCAGGGTGGCAATCGTTCGGATGGCCCCTGTACTGGAGTCCACCGTGAAGAACTTCTTGGCTGTGGACTCGACGATCTGATACACAAGCAGAGCGTTCCGGTTGCTGTCGGCATCGGTGGCCCGAATGACCAGGGGGCTGTTATCTAGGCTCCTGACAATGCTATTAACTGGGGCAGCCTCACTCAGGCTGCCCGAATATTGAGAAAAGAGGAAAACAGGGGCATTATCATTTTCATCAACAATCTGAATATTGACGGAGACATTGGAAGCCATTCCTGCCATGTTCGTGGCCTGTACAGTGAGTTGGTAAGTGGAAGTTTGCTCATAATCCAGTGCTTTCCGGGTAGTGATGACTCCAGAGTATGGATTTATGGTAAAGATCCCATCTATGTTTCCATCTTTGACGTCATAAATGAGGGTAGATTGGCTAATCGCAGAGATCAGAATGACCGATGTTCCAATATCAACATTTTCATTTACTTCTGCTTGGTAGTCTTTCTGAAGGAACTTGGGGTGAGAATTATCAGACATGGTGACAGAAATGCGCACAATTGCGGTGGCAGACATGGGTGGGGAACCCTGGTCTGTGACTTTGATTGACAAGACAAACTGACCCATAGTCGTCATGTCTGGTTCTTTGGAAATGGTGATGATGCCCAGGACTGGTTCAATCTTAAATGTATTCCCAGTGTTCCCTACAGTATGGAAATCAACATGGAAATGAGTTACAATTGGATCATGTTTTGAACATTAACTTTTCATTTAAAGGCTACTTGACTGCAACATGGCAAGCAAAAAGCAACTTTTCATATCCATCCCACCTCATTCTGAAATAAAACAAGAGACTTCTCTTTTACTATTCAAAAGCAACTGAAATGAGTTTTCAGATAAAATTGTGAATTTCTGATCACTAGCTTCTTAATCCAGGTTTATAACAACAACATAGCACGGTGTACATTAAACCTGGTGAATAAAAGCTTGTGGGAGAGACTTTTCTGTTTAAACTTTCTTATTCTCAGCTATGTGAGAAGACTGGGCTGGCACAAGCTAATGCCACTAGTGAAAGGTATTTTCACCTAAACCAGTGGTCAGCAAACTGCGGCTCGTGAGCCACATATGGCTCTTTGGTCCCTTCAGTGTGGCTCTCCCACAAAATACCACATGTGGGCGCGCACATACAGTGCCATTGAAACTTCGTGGCCCATGCGCAGAAGTGGGTTTTCAGCTCTCAAAAGAAATTTCAATCCTTGTACTGTTGATAATCATTTGGCTCTGTTGACTAATGAGTTTGCTGACCACTGACCAAAACCATATTCTATATTCCATGTTCCGGGGAAGAGGGCTGTAGAAATTTTTTTAGAACACTACCACATAGCCATTTGGTTTCAGATTATCCTAAAGGTAAGCTTTATTATGTGAAATTGGTATCATTCCATGCTATCAAAACCTCCTTCATCTGAAACACTACTTTGGTGAGGGGGTTTTGCTCAGGCAGGGAGAATTCTTCCTAAGTCACTGTTGGCTTTGTAAGTCATGGGGATTTTTTCTGACTAACCAATTCTTATTTTCCCATATCCCCAAACACACACTTGCACACACAGACATCAAACTAGACAAATAATGATGAGGCAGTTGCTCCAATCTGTAACCATTCTAGTCGCCAAGTATTTCAGAAGTTTCTGGTGAAGTAGGAAACTGTTGATCATCAGAACCAGCATCCAAACCAAAGATTGGAGATGTAACCCTTGTGAGACTGAAAAACTAGTGCCCGCTTGGGCACCTCTGAAATGGGAAGGACTGGGAACCCGGAAACGGTGCAAATTTAGAGCTCTGTCTCTGAAATGTGCAGGGAGGTGGGGTTGGAACTCTTGAGAAAAATTAAAGAGAAGATAATGGGGAACACATAACTTGAAGAATGTAAAGAATGTGATTCAAAAGTGGTGGATGGTGTGGAGCAGCATTCTTCACCAAGTCGCTTTTGCTTCTCTCATCAGCCTCCCTAATGCTTCTCAAGGAACACAGCTGCTTGTGTGTCGAGATTCATTTAAATCTAAAGTTAATCATCTTGGTTATTCAATTATATAGGGGTTATTCTTTCTTTTTGAAGTACTGCAATATGGCAGACACATGGAGAGTTTAAACGTCATCATTAAAGAAGGCAGTTATATAATGTGTCCATTGAAATATATAGCAAGCACAGCTGTATACATACTTCTTGCTTCTGACTTACTAAATAAAGTTTTCCATGTTTGAAAATGAAAGTCATGTCCCTATGAATTCGTTTTTCTAAGATGTTCGCTTATTTTTAAAGAGGAAGTAAATCTAACAAAGAAGTGAAGAATTTGATTCTAGCCCCCAAATGTTGGGATGACTTTTACTTTGCCATCTAAACATGACCATCCTGTGATGACAAGTTCAATGATTTCATAAGCAAGCTTGCCGATTTTCAATAGCAGAACTGTGCAATTGAGTGGGAGTCTGACCTTTGATTCATACATCCTCACAAGGAGACAGCGATCGTTTCACTTCAGCAACTCAGAGGAGAAAAATATAGAGGTTGCTGAGCATGGGTTACCTTCCAGCAATGGCACCAGCATGCAACCCTGAATGATGAATGCAAGAGAGCACACGGTGTCCCACGGTGGCGTTTCCAGGTAAGTCCTTCCTCACTCAAGGAATAGAAGATTTCTACATGCCCAGCAAGATGCCATGGCAGGGGCAAAGAGGAGCCAGCCTCTGACCTTGAGTAGACCTTCGTCACCCTGCTGTTACATGGTTGCTGGCTGCTCATAACACTCCTGCTCATATGTCAGGTCCAAAATGGGCTCTCTGCTCTTTTCCTCTTCAATGTACTGTCCTATAGTCTTAGAGTCCACTCCTGCTCATTCTCTCCTGCTATACTTAAATCCTTGGAAACCAACCTCTGCTTGTTTCTTTGGAGTCTACAGCTTCTTGTAGCCTTTCGGCAACTGGGCAAGAGCTGTGCTTATCTTATCATTATTTATCTAGTAAATAGCATAGTACCTGGCACAAAGAAGGTGCTTGATAAATATTTGTTCAGATTGATTGAGGGGAAGACATTTTAAAAGATTTTTAATATTCTGTCTGTATATTATCTTGGGATACAATATATCCCCATCCTAACTCAAATCTTAGTTCTGGTCTCCCCTGTACTGCCTTGTCTCAGAGCCACACACGAGCCACTATTGGCACCAGACATAAGAACCGAGTTAAATAGAGCAGCTGTCGCCAACCTTTCAGACCTCATGGACCACTGGTGGCCCGCAGACTACCAATTGGCGACTGCTGAAATAGAGGACCAAAGCTCTGCCTTGAATTCTGCCTCAGTCCTTCAGGCCAAACTAAAAAGCTCCAATAGTTACTTACAAACCAGGCAGGGGCGTGAATGCATGGCCCAGACAATAGAGTAAAATCTTGCTCATCAGAGGGCTGTGAGAGGACTTAAAATGCACACTTCACACAACCACTTGGCATTTGCTTAAAAATGCTGAAGCCTCCGGGATCCACCTCTCTCCTGCCCTGATCTGGGAAGAAACTGGCCAGGTAGGACCAGTCCAGGTCAGTGTGGGTCTGTCTGTCTGTCTGTCCGTGAAGGGCCCCAGCAACCATCTGAAATTTATTGTATCCACTGTAATTCTCATTAGCTTTGTACACATACAGTCAAGGGCTGTTTTTTTGAGTTACCAATCATCCCTTGTGGGTTTTTGGAAATTCAAGTGTTCTATATAAAAGGTGTTTTGAGGAAATAACTTTTCTCTCTAGTTTTAGTCAACCATGAGAGAAATGACCAAGTTCTTTCTCTATGCACAGAACCAGGCTGTCCTCTGTGGAGGTGAAAAGATAAGAGAGACAGTCCTTACAGCTAGATGGTAATTTCTTCTTAAATTACTCTTCAAGAACCTCCAATTTGGTTTACAAATGATCTGGCTATCTGAGAGGAGTATAATAGTAGCCTTCCTGACAAGTACAAACAGCAAGTAGGCACTCAGACAAACGCTTAGACAAAGTCAAGTAAGGAAAGTAGACATAAAACCCAATACCTAAAAGACTACAGTGAGATGAAGCAATGTATATGCATGAATGAAAATGGGGAAAATATATGTTAGGGGAAACTGTAGAAAGAATATAAAGTGTTATTGGAATAGGTGACATTTTCTAGGATGTTACTGACGAATTGCTTTTCTAAAAAGAAGTTTCTCTGTATATTATTTGTGGAACAAAAGAACAAGAATGAATAAACCAAGAGATATAAAACACCATCTTAAAAATTATTAATCACTGGGAGCACCTGGCTGATATGAACCAACATATTTTATTTTATTTTTTGTATAGAGTTTAGCACTGACATGAAAAATGTGGATGCCTAATGCAGGCAATAATTTTAGATTGCAGGGATTTTTAAAGAAGGTTGTTGGCTTTTCAATTTCCACTATTTTTTAGTCCAAAACTGTCATTCCAGCATTCATATTTTTGTTCCACCAATCACAAAAATGCCCCCCATTTACATCAAGGGAAAGCAGCTCTGCAGTGCTGGCAGGAGAGGAGACAGCGTCTGGCACGATTCGTGACAGACATAATGTTGCAGAACATTTTGGAAATGTGTTGCTTGAATATTCCAAAGAAGGAGAGGAGAAGGGAAAATAGAGTAGATAAAGGATATCTGTAATTTTTAATTTCACAGCTCCATCCTTCCCTCTCCTTTGATAGAACATTTATGTCTTTTGCCATCAAGTTTTTTAGTGGTCCACCTCAAACCATCAATAAACTATGGTCCTGCTTATAGATGTTAAAATAATTTTTAAAAATATCTCAAATTTAACAAGAGTGTGTGTGTGTGTGTGTGTGTGTGTGTGTGTGTGTGTATATATATATATATATATATATATATATATATGATAGATTTCAAAGAAGAAGGGGAGGGAGATAAAGACAGAAACATCAGTGATGACCAGCTGCCTCCTGCACATCTGCCACTGGGGATAGAGCCCACAACCAGGGCGTGTGCCCTGAATGGGAATCGAACAGTGACTGCCTTCATAGGTCGATGCTCAAGCACTGAGCCATGCCAGCCCAGTGGGTCTGTATTTATTTATCTGTTGGGCTAAGCAAGCAGTTTAGTACCTACCAACTACTCTGATACTCAAATCACTTCCAATGCAGTGAATTTGTGTCAAGGGTGGGGGCCCAGGAATCTCTGATGCCCATAGCCCATCCACTGACAAGTGAACAAAGACAAGTGAGGTTCATTCACAGAGCTGTCTGGCAGCCCTCGGGTGATGGGAAGCTTTGGTTTCATTCAATCTGTGACCATGACTTGTTGACCCATAAGTAAAAGACACTGAGCTTACTACACATTTCTTCTCTCTTTTCCATTCCAGAAAAATCTGAGATTGAACCTAATAAAAGGCAACTCTTTCCTTGCTGTCAATGATGGAAAACATATGACTGAAATGCCAAGAACTTTATACACTTCTATCATGCAAATGGGGCAGTTGCTTGGCAGAAGAAAAAAAAAAAAGTCAGTTGGAGATGTTCCAGCCATAACCACGTGAAGTTGACAAGGTGATAAATACTAGAGGGTCCAGTGCCATGCATTATGCTGCAATCAGTGCAACAGCTCTCACCTGCTTCTATGGTATATATGAGTTCTGCATTTTCCCCTTTGTCTTTGTCCAGAGCCGTCACTTGCAGAACAGCTGATCCCAGAGCAGCCGATTCAAAGACAGACGCTTCATACAGTGGGTTGGTAAAGTAAGGACTGTGATCATTAGCATCTTCCACATTCACAATGACTCGGGCCAAGTTTCTTCGATAAGGAAACTCCTGATCTCTGACCTTTAGGCAAAACAACAAGAAGCAGTAGGACTAAAACCTTAAGTTGCAAAGAACTCACATGGCAATGTCTGTAGTGAAAACAAAATGACACAATGTACGCAAAGTGTTTGACCCAGTCCCACCCAGGCACACAGTAGGTGCTCAATAAATGGTAGTATTATCAAGTCAGATAATAAACTGAGAGCAGGGACCACATCCTCTTCATTACTCCGTGTTATGCCTGAAGGTTGGTCTGTGTTTATGGAACTGATGCCTGGATATCACAAACACAGCAGTTTCTTCTGGCCCCCCTCACACAGCCACTACCACTCATTTGTGCAAACTGCTGCTAATCGAATGGAGGATGGAACCTCTTCTAAAGAGGAAACTAAAAAGTGGAATTAATGAATGCAATGTAGGCACTGTCATTCATCCATTCACTCATTCACTCACTTATGCATTCATTCATTGAACACTTATTGCCACCTATGATCTGTGAAGCTCCAGAATTGACTCTGCTGGTTCAATGGTGAATGAGATGCAGTCCCTGACTTCAAGAACTTTATAGGTGACTGGGGAACACAAACTATTAAACAGACAGCTTTACTGCCCAGTGGTAAGTGCCAGGATGGGATTAGTGAGAGGCACTTCACTTTCTATTTAGCTTTTTGGAAGAGGTAACAGAAATAAGTACAAGTGGTAAAAAGGTGTTGATGGTTGTGGGCCCGTATCTCAGGCAAAAAGAACAAACATAGTCAGAGGCCCCGTACTGGGAGAGAATCTTGTTCACTGGGAAGATGAACTGAATCTTAACTTCTAAAATGTGAGACCCCATTTTCACTTCACCAAGGAGCCTGCCTGACTGCTTTCAAGTTTCCCCTCTTTTGCATATGGCAAAAGCTTGCCAATAAACAACTCTTTAGCTCTAACCACATGATTCTGAAGCAGTTTTATGTAGTGATGATCAAATGTGTCCTTTCCATTTGTTCAATTTTAGGTACCATAATTTGAAAGATGTGGAAAGTTAGAAAGCGTACCGAGAAGAGCACAGGGTAACCAAACTGCATTTTGAGTTTAAGGAAAGAATGAACAGAAATGACTTGAAGAATCATGAAAATGGAGTTAGTCACTGGCATCAGGTTCCTGCCCCTGAAGGAATACCTGTAAAAGCAACCTGATGAGTGCTCTGGATTTCCCTGTCTGTAGGCTGGCTCTCACACGCAAGGACCAGGCTGGCCTCTGTATTTGGGGCTTACTGAAATCCAGGTCTATTCCACAGGAATGCCCAAGGGTGCTGGGACTTTGTCTACTTTATATGTTTGGTGCCTAGGACAGTGCTTGGTACACACTAGGTGCTGGAGAGATATCTAATGAATGGGTGAATGGTGGTCAGAGTGATGGAGAGATATCTAATGAATGGGTGAATGGTGCTGGAGAGATATCTAATGAATGGGTGAATGGTGGTGGAGAGATATCTAATGAATATCTAGGTGCTGGAGAGATATCTAATGAATGGGTGAATGATGGTCAGAGCGATGGGTTTGAAGATTCCACAGCCTCTCTTGTGTTCCAGCTGGAAACCATTGTCAAGGGCACGGCACTCCGGCATCCTCTGGTCCAGAGAGGTTTCTGGATTTGGGAAGGAGGAGTAGCACTTAGAAGAACATGAATTCCAGCGGCTTGGGAATTGGTATAGTGCCTTGGTGTGCTTTAAAGCCCAGCAGTACATGAGATTAAGCCTCTGTTATCCCTCCTGGTTTAGGAACCCAGGAGGTTTCTATAGGCAGAGGCTGTGCAATTGCTCCTAGGGTTCTTGGGTGGTTTTAGGGACAGGTTTTAGGCCATACACGAACCAAGGAGGCTTCTTGTTAGTCTTTACCTCCCAATTATGGGAACTAGGCACACTCCGCTTTAAAATGAAAGCAACGTCTACATAATTAGGAGGCCCTGCGAACCCACATGCATGTTTATGCTCTCTGCAGACCTCCGTGTGTTTGAGTCCTCTTTAGTGCACCGGTATTACTACAAGGTCAACGCTGGAGCAATGGTAATAAACAAAATCTCCAAATGCTTCCAGGCCGGAGCACGGCACAGGTTCAGCAAAGGATTACCATTGTGATTAACTTCTCAAGGAACTTCTTTTTAACTTTTCTACAAAATCTTCTGGATGCGAACCAATACTATGCACACTGGGAGATTTACGGAAACACGGCCTATTCCTCCCCCTCAAGTCAGTCTGTCGGCAGCATTTACTGAGCAGCCACTGTCTGTAGAACTCATCTCAAGTTTCAGTTTGGCCAAAAAGATGGAGTCCCTGCCTAACAACAGTAATTCCTCACTGAAAGCAAAAGGCGAAAAGGAAGGCAGCCCTGCTGTGAAGAGACCAGGTTTCCCACTGCTTACAAAACTGAGGGGACTTGCACGTCTGGAGACTAAGGTGTGTGCCTCGAGGGGTCAGGGATCCTGCCAGGAGAGCAATTAAGCATTTGGGCCCACCATGACGTTGAGGATGTGCTTGTCCTGGGCCTCGTGGTCCAGACGCTCGGCAGTGTAGAGCACGCCGGTGCTGGGGTCCATCCGGAATTTCCTCATGCTGGCGGCGTCGATGCTGCTGTGCACCGTGTAGCTCAGCTTGTGCTTCTCATCTCGGTCTGTGGCCTCGATCTGCAGGATCTCTGTGTCGGGGAGCACGTCCTCGGAAATTGTCACATCGTAACTCGGCTGAGAGAATTCCGGGCCGTTGTCATTATTATCCAGCACTTTGATAAATACCTACAGTTAAAGGAAGACAAGAGTGAGGACTAATGCCAATGTCCTCTTTCTTCTTGCCCGATCCGATCCTTGGATCCCCGCTTGGAGCAGCTTTCTCAATGTGGAGGACATTCTTATATGAAAATATTCTGTAATTAGAGGCTGACAGTAAGCCAGGAGTTCATAGTGTCAGGGACATACACGCCAGCTGATCAATACTCTCACTATTAACTGAACAGCTAAGCTTGTCCCCAGGGGTGACAACTCCACAGGGTCACTTGAGGCACGATGTGAGAGACCACAAGGTGACTTCAGTGTGTTTTCTTCCTATTTTCTTTTAAAGCCATATCGTGTATTTAAAAAAATACATATATGTGTGTGTATATATGTATGTGACATACTAATCTGTCCTCTGTAATACACACACACACACACACACACACATTAGAGGCCTGGTGCATGAATTCGTGAATGGGTGGGGTCTGGCCAAGGGGAGGAGACATGGGTGGTTGGCTGGCCTCCCTACTGGTGGAATTCCTGGTTGAGGGGACAATTTGCATATCAGCCTTTTATTATATAGGATATATAATACACTGAGTGGCCAGATTATTATGCATTCAGAGATCATAATAATCTGGCCACTCAGTGTTTATATTTCAGAGAGGAAGGGAGAGGGAGAGAGAAATAGAAACATCAATGATGAGAGAGAATCACTGATTGGCTGCCTCCTGCTCACCCCCTGCTGGCCTGTACCAACCCAGGCCTGTGCCCTTAACCAGCATCAAACCTGGGACCCTTCAGTCCGCAGGCAGAAGCTCTATGCATGGAACCAAAGCAGCCAGGGCCATTTCTATTAACTTAGGTTCTTGTTATGTGCTCCTCATAGTGGACTTAACATGGAGGCAGGAACAGAAGTGGGACAGGAACAATAGAGGCGGAGGATGGAGGAGTGGACACAGGGGTGGCCTTCTCAGAGCAAGCAGAGCTTCTCAACTGCAGTGTCCACACATTGCGGCTCTCTTCCAGAAGGGATGTGTTGAGTAAAGAATATGATAGTGAAATACGAAGCTCCTAACTTGTGTCCCCTTATAAGTCATTTTGTTATAAAAGTGTTCAGGCAGATATAAAGTCATCGCTTAACAAACCCTCCTGTATTCATTGCTCAGCTTTGACAATTAGGAATTCACAGCTTAACCTTGTTTCATTCCCACCTGCTCCCCCATATTATTTTGAAGCAAATCCCAGCCATCATGTAATTTCAGTATGTCTCTAAATGACAGGGAGTCTTAAATACACACAATACCATTATTGCATCTATACAGAGAGAACTAATTCCTTATTGTCTTTAAATATTCAGTTAGTGTTCATCTCTTTATAATTGCTTTTTAAAATGCTATCTACGTTTGTATTATACATATATATGCATACATATTTCATAGTTTCTTTTAATCAGGAAATGCAAATAGGATCCAAACATTGCATTTGCTTGATGTCTTTTAATTTATAGATTTTCCCTTTATTTCCTTGCAATTTTTATGTTGTTATCTTTGGCATTGAACAAACTGAGCCATTTTATTTTTATGGTTTCCACGGTCTGAATTTCACTCATTCCATCCCTGTGTGTTTTTTTTCTACAGGTCTTACCGTCCCCCGTATTACTTATACATTGGTAGTTTCATATATAAGGCTTGATAAGATTCAAGTTTAATTTCCCCCTCCTCCTTTTTCTTGGACAAAAATACTTCATGAGTGATACCGTGTACTTCCATACGGAGACACATAATACCTGGTCCTCTCTCTGGTTATGTGATATTAATAGACATTGATGATCATTGTATACATAACATTAACCCATTAAAAATGCAAAATGGTAATGTTTTAATTGTATGATTTCTTTCTCACTTATTAGCGGGAGGAGCTCTAAAAAGAACTCTTTGGTTACTCTGATGATCGCTTCCTGTAGGAACAGCAGCATAAATACTTCTTTTTCCTCTATTTATCATTTTTAAAATAATGAGCTGGTTCTTCAGCTCCTCCCAAAGTAATCAATGAAGTAGTTTTTTTTCAAGCATCATTATGAACTTCTGAATTTAATCACATCTGATATGTGCTTCAAAGTTACTGATGCACAAATGGCTCTTCCCTGGTCAGTGAGAGCCTCTTCAAATTGACTCATGATATTTTGACACAATTATTGTAGTCTTTGATAGCTTACTTGCTTCCCAATAATTTCCACCAGTATTTTTCCCCGAGGTCGTCTTATACATTTTCTAAGCCCAGTCCCGAGTTGTCCATTTATTCAAAAAGTGTTGGTTACTTTTTAGTTAGAAGTGGCATTTAGAGATGACAAGGTGGTATTAGGGATGTTCACTGCTGCTAGATCTGCTAATGTGTCTGGCTTTTATTCAGTGGACATAATCAGCAAAGTTTTTTTGTTTCTTTGTCAATCCTCACCCGAGGATATTCCCCCCCCCTCCCCCCCACTGATTTTTAGAGAGAATGGAAGGGGGGAAGGCAGGGATGAAGAGAGAAAAACATGGATGTGAGAGAGATACATTGATTGGTTGCCACCAGCATGGGATCCAACTGGGGTCAAGGATGGAACCTGCAGCCCAGGTAAGTGCCCTTCACTGGAATGAACCCAATACTTTTTGGTGTGCTGCCAGCACTCTAACCACTGAGCACACTGGCCAGAGCAAAAGTTCTTTGTTTCTAATAATTATTCCATGAGTTGATATTGATACCTCCAATTTAAAATTAAGGCATCAAGGTTTTTATTTAAAATTTTTTTTTTATATTTGTATCTCCGTTTTCCCATGCTGAAATTTCTCATGCTCAATGACATCATCATAGTTGCTCACTGTTTTATTTGAAACACAAGAACAAAACCTGAGCATAACAATGCCAACATTGTTATTATAATTACATTACAATTATGGCCATTCAAAAACAATTCAGTATTATTTTGCAGTTATTTTTGTCCTCAGGATTTATTCTGCTGGGATATACAGTCAAATTAATATCTTTAAAATCACTTAGATTAGTTCTTCTCTATGTGCTCAGCATTCTACAATGCAGAGGACCGTCCCCCACAATAAAGAATTATCTAACCTGAAATGTCAACATGCCCCTTCATTATATCCTGAAGGTCAGTCCACAGTAGTTTAGAAATGTTCTTCCAATGGGTTGATAAATCAGTTAATTCAATCAATCCTCAACTGATGTTCATTTAAAATGTTCCCCACTCTTGTCTTAGGGTGTATAATGAAGAGCCTTGTGCCCATGTCTTTTTATACTTTTGCTAGTATATATTAGTATTTGGAACCCTACTTTTGGGATTATTGGATCAAAGGAGAAGTGCTCACTCAATTTTGGGTGATAGTTCCATATTCCCTTACCCAAAAGTTTTATCATTCGGCATTTCCAGAGCAACACAGGGTGGGGAAAAAGTAGGTTTACAGTTGCGAGTGCATAAAACACAGTTCATTCTATTATTATTCATCAATTATTATATCATTTTCCAAACAAACAACTGTATACCTGCCTTTGCCCTACCCTGTGTATGAGAATGACTGTCTTACAGCCTTGCCAACAGAGTATCTATGCAGTAAAACTTGGATTTTCTGCTAATCTGATAGTTGAGAAATGGCATTTCAATGGGTTTTCATTGCTTTTCTCTTACTATGAGTAGGGTTGAGCATCTTTTCCTTTTCATATGTTTGAGTCATTTACATTTTTTTTCTTTATTTTCTATTCATTTATTTATTTAAATTTGTCTTTATTGTTGAAAGTATTACAGAAGTCCCCTTTGGTTTTTTCCCCACTGACCCCCTTCACCACACACCCACTCCTACCATGCCTTTTCCAGACTATTTTCTGTGTCTATGGGCTATGCGTATCCTATCTAATAAAGAAGGAATATGCTAATTGACCCTCACACCATCGCAAAATGGCAGTGCCCACAGCCAATAAGGAGAGAATCTGTTAATTGACTGCCACGCCCTCAAAGATGTCTGTGCTCATAGCCACAAATGGTAGCTCCCAGTCCGCTCAGTCCTGCCAGGATGGCAGGCCTGGGATGGGCCTGGCTATTTTGCCCACCTGCCTCCTGAGTCCCCCAGTCCCCACCAGCCCCCCAGCTTCCCAGGGCTGGACCAAGGTGCAGGCAAGCCTTGGATGGCAGCTGCCCAGCCATCCAGGGCTACCTGAGGCTCAGCAGGGCTGGCCAAGGCTTGTGCTGCTGGCAGTGGCAGCAGCAGAGGTGTGATGGGGCGTCGCCTTCCCCTGATCGCCTGGTCGCCTCCTGCCTCTGAGGGCTCCTGGACTGTGAGAGGGGACAGGCTGGGTTGAGGGACCCCCCTCCAGTGCATGAATTTTCATCCACCAGGCTTCTAGTCCTATGTAATAAAAGCCTAATATGCTAACTGTCCAGTTGTCCAGTCCTACATTCAACCAATCAAACCATAATATGCTAATGATATGCTAAATCCACTCAACTGCTTGCTATGATGTGCACTGACCACCAGGGGGCAGATGCTCTGACTGGTAGATTAGCTTGATGCTGGGGTCCGGCGGATTGGGACTGAATAAGACAGGCTGGACATACTCTGAGCCCTCCTTTGACCCATCCCTGGCCCCCGATCATGCACTGGTGGGGTCCCTTGGCCTGGCTTGCACCCTCTGGCAATCTTGGACCTCTAGGGAGATGTCAAAGAGCCGGTTTTGGCCTTATCCCTCAGGCCAGGCTGAGGGACCCCACTGGTGCACAAATTTGTGACCAGGCCTCTAGAATGCATATAAATTCCCCTGTTAATCTCTCCATCATCCCCACACTCCTACCTTCCCTCTGAAATTCCTGTCTGTTTCATGGTCCTATGTCTCTGGATCTATTTTGTTCATCAGTTTATTTTGTTCACAAGATTCCATATATGAATGATATCATGGATACTTGTCTTTCTCTGATTAGCCTATTTCACTTAGCATAATCCTCCCCAGGTCCATCCATGCTGTTGCAAATGGTA